AAATATTTTCGACCTTACACATTAACAAACAACAAAACCGACCGTATGTGCGCCGATCTAAAGTAGTTAAAAGGTTAATAGGCGAGACGAGAGTCGAGCAGCGAAGAAATACGCTTAGGCCGCCGATATTTTTCGCTTCCGTTTTCCGCCGGAAGAACGGACAATGGAGACCCCGCGCACGCACATAAACGTTTGTCGACGTTGAGTGGAAAAATACAAAAAAAAAAAGAATTCCTCGTGTCAAACAAAAACATCATGCATAAGTATGTACAGTATCTATATCTATATAATATTATTATCATTGTTCAAATACAAAACGCAAACGTTCACTTATGACAGGCGCTGTTGGCGTTAAAAACCGCAATTAAATTATATACGTGTGTGCATGCATCATTTTTTTTTTTGGCGTGTCTAATGATACTTGAGATAATACATACGGTGCCCCCTATGTACTTATATCGTATTTTTATTATTATTTTTATTATTATATACATGTTGTATTATTTTCATACCGGGTACACGTCGTGTCGTGTGTATGTATACCTAAGGTCACGGAGGATAAAGAATATTTTTTTAAAAACGGATGGCTTTTTTTTTGGTTGTTGTCTCTGTACGGTTGTGTGTGTTTATTGTAGACTGCGACTTGCAGGTTGGATGAACCAATGATATGGCAGTGCATGTCACGCTGGACATGACACAAAAATGTGTAAATACGTTACGACCAGACAAATAAAAAAACCGCAGACTAATATGTTTTGTAATAATTAGATTTAAAAACGTGATAAATGTGCTCAGTCATTTCGATAAGGTCAGAATCCTCTACAATCGACGAGACAATGAGAAAAAAATTACCCGTGTACCGTAATTTTCCAATAGGATTTAATTTAGGTACAATTAAAAAAAAAGCCAATCGTTTTTTTCTTAGTAGATCATTGATCCGTGCAAAATATGCGATTTACGCTCTATGTTTGCGTTTTTTAAATTCTAAATTATACTGCTATATCTTTTTTTTTTAAGAAGTCAATAAAATAATACCGTTTTTCCTAAGTAGGAAAATTAATATATATCTGGTCGCTTAATGCTAATGGCTTTGACAACCAAATCGTGATGATATAATTATTATTCGTAGAACAAAATTTAAAAAAAAAGTAAGAAAAAAAGTGTCACGAAAAACTCATATAAAAACTCATGATATTATTATAAAAAAAAACCATATTATATTATCATTTTAGTATATAACGTTTGTATAAAAGATAAATATATAATAACAATTTATACCATTTAAGTAGAAATTAAATGCTGGTCTATATTTTGAAATGTATATAATATTAATTTAATTATGAAAACTGTAAATAAAAATTAATCTTTAAAATGTTTATCAATTCATATATTAAATATATTTGGTAGGTAATTCTCAATTTAAATATGGTGCATATTTGTATGAAACATAATTGTAGTTAAGGCGTATAAAATAGAAAAGTCGTATTACTGTTTATATAATATAATATTTTTATTTATGTAGCCTATTTTATAACTATAACCATCTTTAAAACTTAAACAATTTCTCTTTAGAAGAGCATAGTATAACATAATATTATAAAAAGAAATATTTAAAATATAAACTAAACCGTAAATCTGTAGGAAAGGCTACGTTGCTTAATAACAAAGTAGTGATGGGAATCCGAAAATCCGTTTTTTCACAAAATACGCTTTTTAAGCTACTTAAAAATCATATACCTAAGTGTTAAATAATTTTACAATATAAAGCTGTGTACCTAAGTAAAATTGTTTTGATGAATATGTAAAAATAAAACAAAACAACAAAAAGATAAACTGCTTTTGGATTTCGGATTTGTTAAAATCCGGAATCCAAAATCCGAAAGCATTTTATAGACAAAGTTAAGAGTTTTTTTTTTAAATTTTTATCAACAAATTTTACTTAGGTACACATCTTTATATTGTAAGAGTATTTAATATTTATAAGATTTTCAAGTGACATAAAATAGAGTTTTTTTGAAAAGTCCGGATTTTCGGATTCCCATCACTAGTACTTAGAGTTGGGTAAATGTTAAATAAGATAATAAATAATAGATAATTCGACGAATAATGACATAAATACCTAAATAATAAATAATATTTTTTTAGCTATCACTACATTTAGATTAAAAAAGTTCTTTGAATAATTTTTTGTTACAATTTCATATTATTTATAAGTTTTTAAAATAATTTTGCAATAATTTCTAAAAAAAATTTCAAGTAAGGCTCTTACAATATTTTATGAGAGAGTCTAATGTTATTAAATTAGGGTTTAAACTTTAAATACAGTCGGTTACAGGGCCGTTTTATGCTACGCAAGGGCTCTTAAGCACACAGAGTTTGAACAATTTTTGATGTAAATTGTATTATTTGGGACCTTCATCAGGGTAAAGATGACACTGTTGGGATATGTAGATAAATAACTAACAGAAAAGATAATATAAGTACCTTTACAATATGGTATATTTAGTAAGGTTACTTTGTGGCATTTACACTGCATAACGCGGAGCACATAACAAACGCATATTAAAAAACTATTATTGGCACGAATATATAGCTATATAGTATATATAAGTATAACTAAGCTGTTGTTTTAATATATACCAATTTCGTTTTCACTATATTCGTTCGTGTAATAAGTATTAAAATATAGTTTTTTTTTAAATATAGTTAACTACTAAAGGTACGAATAAACGGTATTTTTAATGTTATCGAAAACTTGGTTTATTATCGCTAAATAATGTAAATGAATCCTAAATTTTGCGGCCAAGTATATAATATACATATTATTGCGCATGCCCACAATGTAGCGAGGGAAGAGTTACCATTGCGAAATATACACACACATGCACGTATATACTCGTATATATATATATATTTGTAAAATACACTTAATATATAAACGGACAGAAAACAAGACCGTGCATAGAGAGTGGGGTCACTAAACTGCTGCGGTGGCAGTCTATGGAAATGGCGTTCAATTTATACTTATCTCGTGTGTATACAATACCTACATAGTCGACACGCCCTCGGCACTTTTCGCCTCTACAGTCTACACATATATTATGTTTTTTTACTATTTACCAGTGTACATGTATTCATACTCATATGAGTACACATGAATCATGATCGTTTAGTCGCAAGTTACATACATAGACGACCAACTTGTGTCGTTTCTCGGGTCTCAATGTGCTGTGTGCGTGGAGATATTGAAGTTATTTTAATCAATATGTTTTAGTTTTACAGTCTTGTTTTCTATAGTATATCTCTATATATGTCTTAATGACTTTTTGTGTTAGTGTTATACAGGTAATACTATATACTATATATAGTGGTCAACTGCAATTCGATTGTGATATTGCGTAAAACAACTTTTGATTTTCAAGCTTGTAACAAACATTTTGTAGTAATTGGTTTATTTAAACATTGAGATTGAAGCATGATTGGAAACCATTTTTTAGTATCAACCCGTCTACGATTAAGACATAAGACCTAAGAGAGAGATAATATTTTTATTCGCGCACACAGTGTTAGGTTAGGTTAGGTACTTACTATACTTCACGCCTAAAAAAAAATTCTTAAATTCATCCCTATAACTACGACTAACTACTGCAGTAACTTCATGGGGGCTGTTTTACATGGAGGTTAAAAAACTAACCTGATTGACCCTATAGAGTATAAATATAATTAAACAGATGTGATGGGAATATACTTAAGAGTAGGTACCGTTCATAACGTTTAACAGGTATGAAGGTAATATGCTTCTTCCAGAGTCTTCAGTGAATAACTAAACAGATTATTCTGAAGATAGTTAAATTTTTTTACAGTAAATTGTTCGAGGATTATGTAAGAATTAGGAATTAATATTTTTTTTGTATTTTTTACCAATTCCCGTTTCTAGACTGTAAATGTAATGCAACTTATATTAGCTAAAACTTAAATAACAGCTACATTAATCGTTATTCTGGCATATCACGGATTATAAATTGGAGTTTCGTTTAACATTTTATTAAGTATAACAATTTATTATTGTTTTTTATAATACTTACAACACTGATCAAATCGCTTCGATGCGCCGTATTCAATACTACTTCTCTCTATGATGACATCTCGTAGTTAATCCGTTACATTTTTTCCGGGTACATCATTATATCAATAGGTTGTGATCGCGCTTCGTTACCAAGTATAACGTTTCACCTTTACCCCCAAAATAACGCTGAAAGATGTCATGTGTCCGCACAAAACGCATCATATTATATAAAGTATAGGTATAATCAACAATTGAACATCTGGACGGACCAATTTCCCATTAGGCTTCAATTATTATTATATTATATATTATTATTATTTAGTGTATCGATTTCCACACCTATATTATAGGATAACACGTCCAAAGGTTTCGGCGGCCACAGTACGCCTGTTTATAATTATATTACACATACAATATAACGGGCGGTTCGCAGTTCGCTCCGGATTAACGATCACACCGTAAACACGGTATACTATATTATAAAGAATTCTATGTATCTAACCGTATTTTTACCATTATTTTTCAATAATAAACACAAGGGAAAAATTAAAAGCCCCTTATACGTGTATTAACACATATTATACCTATATACCTACACCAGAATCATTGTACGAAACGAATGAACCATAACGCCCCCCGACAACATGCGTACATACATACATACTATAAATACCATGTGTTTGATGAGGAACTGCGGACCGAAAAACGTTGGACGGAAAAATCGGTCAATTATCATTAATACTAGTATTATTATGTATGGTACCGAGTACGTACCATTAGGTGTCATGTATATTATTATGTAGAAATAAAGTAACAATGGTTTTTAAACTCTAAACAATAATATTATTTTATTATTTTTCATTTGTTTTTAAATATATATTTATAACAAGTATTCAGTTAATATTTACAGGAAAAATCAGATCAATATGTATACATAGTAATAATATAATAATAAGTATAGTACTTAATATACGATACTTCTTTTTAATGTATAAGTATATAACGCGCGCATGTTTGCAAAAAAAAAAAACAGTAGTAAAATATTGATCATTTTTTGCGCACATAAAAAAAAAATATAACAAACGGTTAACATCATTTACAAATTAACGCAGTGTTCAATATTATACATCCTAATGCATTAATAATTTTTTTCTTATTTTTTATTTTTTGGCACTGTCAAGTGTTAAACAGTTTAACTCGACGACGTACTGATGGCTATAATTGTAAAAACAAAATAAACATCACTTAATTAGCTATACTTAAATTTTCTTAAAGGATACAAAACTAATTACATGTAACATTGCACGATTTTTGTTTATACGTTTACGTGTTTAATACTAATAATAACGCTTATATCGACAGCAGCTATACTGTATGAAATAAATTACTGTTTTTTTACCATTAAAATAAAAAATACTAACCGTTTAAATATATATTATAGAAACATTTACAGTTTGTATTATAATATTATAATAATTACTATTCTGGTAAGCATAGATCATATAAATATTATGTACTTTTTACTACGGCCAGAGTCTGTCGAACCATTTGCCACACCAGTGTAACGGGCGTTTAAGTCTCTGATCGCGCAAATTATTTATTTTAATATAATGTATATTATTTACATTTAAATATTAACAAAAACAATTAGGTGTAATATTATTGTAAAAATAATAATTCAAGTCATCATTGACAAAACTCATGCTCAGTTTTCTCAAGATGCTAACTAATCAATGCAAATAGTTTTTGTGTTTTGGGAGTAAGAGCGGATGAGTATTTATTTTTTTTGAGGATTTAATTTTAAAAAAATGTACAATTTAACGCGTGTATCATCAGATGTACTTACGGTTAAAACTTTTTGGCATCCGGTCACGACAGTAATCATAATAATATTAAATATTATACATTAATAACGTAATATTATAGTTAATTATAAAAAAAGCTAAGTACAATGTATTTTTAAAAATAAGGAGAAAAACGACGACTAGGTAGTGTTGTGTGTGTGTTTATGTTGCGCTTGTATTAGACGTCTACGTTGGGCGAATCGTTGGACCGGTCGTCCTCGACGTCCACTGATCCGGGTCGGCTGTCCACGGACCGGGGAGAGGCTTGCGAGGACCGCGGTCGCTCGGGCGTCGGGCTGCGGCCGCCGGGCATGGGCTGCATGGCGGCCGGATGGTGGACGCCATAGTAGAGCGGGTGCGCGAGCGGCGGCGGTGGCGGTGGCGGTATGTGGTGTCCGCCGGCGCCGGCACCGGGGCCGCCGGCCATGCCGGGGTACAGTCGGTACGCCAACGGTTTCTGCAGCGTGGACACGGCCGCGGCGGCCACGGCGGCCTGTCGGTAGTACAAATCTGCGGCCGATGGTGCACTGCCCACACCCGAGCCCCCTCCGCCGCCGGTGGCCGCTGCACCGGGATACGGCCAACAACCGTACGGTGGCCCACCGTACAGTCTCTGGAACGCCGCGTAGTTGCCAGCTTCGGCCAACAATTCCAGACCCACTGCCGTCTGTCGTTTCCATTTAGTTCTGTGAAACACAAAAAAAAAGCAAAACGTGAGAACGATAATTCGCTTTGCTACACATGTAATGTATATTATTTATTAAATCTTAAAAAAAAAATAATAATTAGCTTTAACGAGCGCGCAATTACAAAACGCGTTTAAACCTCTTTAAATAGTTTACCTAAGTGCGTTTTTCAACCAAATTATAATCGCTACTGTCCAAAATGAAATATACTTCGTAGTTCTTTGTCTATGCTTAGCAAAACGGGCAAAATAATACTTCTCGGATACGGTTCGAGTATTTCGTTTTTGTGTATGTGGCGATAAAACGCTTTAATTAACGTTCTTAATTAGAAATGACGTATACATTATGCAAGTTTGATTATATACTTAAACGTTAAAACGGGCAAGACAAATCATTTTATTTAATTATATAGCACAGTATAAATATTTTATATTTTTTTAAATGCTTAAAATTAACCCCAGAAATTACTCAATGTCAAATATACACTGGGATTTTGCATAAAACGGTTATTACTAGTTTCATATATTAATTTTTTTTTATTATTATCGCGTTTTATATTTACTATAATATGTTAGCGTGCCACCGTGTTGTTTGTTTTTCCTTTTGCGCGTTTAGAAGTAATTAGACGAACCTTCCCTTGGCGTAGTGTATCATTATAGATGGATCGTGCATTAATAATTTTTTTTTGAACGTCTGTTTGTGTTGTTTATATATATATATTACATATTGTTTCGCAGTTCTATAATTTAGTAGAGTTTTAGAAATGCGACTGTTATGTTTTTCTCTCTCTCTCTCTCTCACTATATATATATATTTATATAACAAAGTCAAAATATGCGTGCATAAAATATGAACCGCGATTCTCTAAACAGTTTTCGGGTACATATCAACACACCTAATACTTTTAGGTACATGGTCTGAAACCTTGGCGTGGGAAAAATATACTGAATATTTCATTTAGTTGGTTTCATTTATTTATTCAGTATACTGTATACCCTGCTCAGTGCTCAATAGGAATCTACATTTTTTCATGTGTCGTGTCTTATCCATAAAACGGAAAAGCTTATGGTATTATTTGTGTAGTTGGTTTTGACCGTCGCTCAACGCTCCGTCCGTTTAAAAAGACTTTTTTTTTTTTATAAAGGTAAAGTCCGCCTCCGCTATGGTATGATAATAATATATTAAAACGTCAACATAGCGTATAGAGAGAGACTGTCGTCGCACGTGCGCGTCGCTTGTGTATCGATTCGTCACGTGAGTGCGTATGTTTATGTATTTTCTAGAAGGTAAAAAAATTGTGTTAAAACGCCGAAATGGTTTTTTTTTAATCACAACACATAAAGAAGATGAGCGTTAAAAAAACCCAAACCGAATGAGCCGCACGCTTAAGATACATACAGACACACACAAGAATAAACGTGCGGGCGGCCATCGACAGCACGAGCCGATACGACGTTCACTACAAAATAACAACATAATATCATCATAAGACTCATCATGTACAGTATGAACGTGACCCGGGTAACCCGTGGAAAAACATATATCTTGAGCATTATAGAAGAAGAAAAAAAATGCCAAGATCCGCGCGAGCAATGACTGCGTGGATTTTCGATTCCTTTTTGTTATAATAATGTGTTCCTCTCAGACCGTGACATAAGCACAATATCCGCCGATCGGAAATAGTTGTTTTTCCCGTATTTTTCCTTTTTTTATTTTTATGTATACAACACACAAACTAAAGGCTTTTTTTTTGTACCAGGCCAAACATCTTCATCGGCGGGCGGCAGCAGACGGTGACGAGTCAATCGCATACATTTACTCTAAACTCCACTGCTAGGCTAGTATTTATACTGATTACTATATAACTGTTAGTATGTGCAAAAAGGAAATTAAGTCAAGCCATCTATCTAGTGACGAACCTGTTAGAAATTAAGACATTAATGTTTCTACTTCTAAATCCGGTCGGTGCGTTAGAGTGCCAAAAGTGTAATAGTAAAGTGCATTAGTTATTTAAACGCGTTTACTCTGCGTTCGCCCGAGGCGGCCAAAACGTATTTGTCTAGTCTATTTCGCGGTATGCTATACCATAAAATATTATTATTATTATTATTGTCAAGGAGGAGCCGACAAATTATTTCATTGCGACCGTCGACAACGTCCGCATAGAGATATTGTATGAATCAACAATACGCTGTAGTCTGCGACGACTAATTATAGCGCAGTCTTTGATTTAGCAGTTAGCACGACGACAGCCGACGGTAAAGACAAATCTATATGATATTATGAAGTGTGTTTATAAATCAACGGTTGAATCGTGAAAACCCTACATAACCCGATATTATAATGTTATATAGTTACCGGCAACGGTCGACAACAACCGAGAACAAAACGATAAAATGAGTATATTTAAAAAACAAAAAAAATCACAATTTAAATATTATGGTAGAGTTCGTAGATACCTTTTCAAAATATAAATTAAATGTTTAGTGTTTCTTCAATGAAGACTGACAATTAATAATGAATGAACCGTTCAATTTATATTTTTTTTTATCCACAGCAATTTATAAAAAATTAACATTTTACGAATGTTTTATTGATATTTTAAAGGAAAATACATAAATAGATATAATATTTGTTTGATAAATTGTATGAATATTTAAAAAAAAATTACTGTTACTATATCTAATATTTGATTTCCTGCCAAAAACGATAAAAAATATATCGTTAAAATGAAATAAAACGTATTTATTTCTAAGCTAACTTATCATTAAATGATCAATTTTTATATTATATATTTAAATCTGATTTCAATGACACATAGTCGTTGTGTATTCCGGTTCTCCCCTATTGATATACAAGAATTTACATCTATGTAAATTGTAAAAACGTATCGTTCGCATTGGCGCAGTACAAAACCACTTTAAACATGTACAGATAGTAGATACAACGTCGTCGATTTGTATTGTTAGTATAAAATGTATACTTAAAAAAACGGTCAAAAACGATTCGGAGAACGGCCATTGACGGTGCAAATGAAAAATATATATCAATGGGAATAGTCGGCGCGCGTTCGATAATAAATTTCGTTTAATTATTCCTCTCAATGCACGTTTACACCTATTTGTCGTGTTATACTATTCTTCTTCTTCTTTTTCTTGTTATCATTATTATTGCTATTCACTATTATTATTGTGCATCGCGCCCAATCGTCCCCCAGGTCCTTTTGGCTTTCACACAAACACACACACATAGCACACTATGGGTCGATCACCGCGGCAATCCTTTGCCGATCAGGACAGATGCGACCCTGTAAGTCGATAAATTATCCTACTTGTCCTCGTGTAACGCATACAATACAATAACCGCAAATGACATAATTCGTCCGCTGCACGCCTGTGATAATATGTGTTCTTCCTCGCGATTTTTCACACTTCAAATAACCCCTAATAACATGTCTTTGCCTTTTTTTTTTCAACACAGTATTATTGTACTTAGGCGGTTCGACGTTATACAACAAGTACACATAAACGATTGTGTATTTGTGCCCAATGAATTAACCGCTATACCATCGCGCGTCTAAGCCACAAGTACCGCCCCTCTCTGCCTCTTTTTATACACACAACGGATATTAACGTTCAAGTATGTAATATGTAATGCGGCACATGAAAAATGACCTTTCCATTTTGTTTTCCGCAAAACCGACCAATTCGAGTACTTATAGGTTTTTGCTATGTATCGTTTTTCACCCTCATGCACGGAAACGCTGTATACACTCATAATATATAATATTACAAGTATATACTTTGAGGTAGTAGCATTTTTTTTATTACCGCGTGTACAGCACACCCCAAGAGGGTCTTGCGTAAACATTATAATGATACACATATATACCTGATAATCATATAATAAAAAGGGCGGGAAAACTGTTTTGCATTCGTTGTGATATATAACGTTACAAGCGTTACACGAACGAGTATTAACGCGAAAGTCGGCGTTTTACACCTGTCTTTTTTTTACCTCCCCTCGCCTTCCCTTCTTGCTCCATGTACCTACTAGTAGTCCATGCCCAATATAATTGTTTTCATACAAATTTTGGCCGGTGGCACGCGAAAACGCGCATACGACACGATTACAGAGTCCAGAGATACTTTTCTCCTTGCTTTCTTAAATTATAAAACAGTATGTTTGTATAAAATATTTTTCCTCACCTTCTGTTCTGGTACCAGGTCTTGACCTGTGTGTCGGACAAGTTGAGCTTGGCGGCCAGTTCCATGCGGTCTTGAACGCTCAGATATTTTTGCCTTTCGAAGCTCTTCTCCAGCGTCTGAAGCTGATGGTCGGTAAACGCAGTCCGTGCTTTTCTCTGTTTTTTGCTCAAGTTCGATCCGGAATTCCGGCCGTCGTCGTCTCTATGACCTGTAAAATGACAAGCAATACGTTATTATTACTACATTCGACCAGGCATAAAAATTATAATATAGTGCATCGACAGCCACAATAGGAGGCATTACATAGGCTAAGTCGAGATAAACTTGAATTATATGGAGTTGATCAAAATGAGATGTCTAAAATTGATATATTTTCTTTTAAAGCTGCACTTTTCATACAACGATATAATAGCAATATTTTCGTTATTTACCCTGCTGTATTTTATTAAATACAGCCAAGTTAATCGAGTATATTTTCTGAAAATTGGAGGTATAGGTATAACGTATGAACACACAATCATTTTGTGTTGTGCAATTATTTAAGATTATCTATAGGTACGTTTTGTATCCGACCGGTCTAAACCGGCATACACACCACACACGAACATTTACTACCTATATTTTATTTTATTCTACAAATAATCCACAAACATAAACGCGATTTAATGCTTAATAGTTACTATTGCGACTTACATATATTGCGGTGAACACGCGATACCTACGCGGTGGCCAGGTCGAGTCATTAGTGCTTTAATATAGATTATATACATCTATAATATAATATGATGGAATGGACGATAAAAGTCGCACACAAAACGCTCGTGTACCGTATATAAACGGAATTAAAATAAATGGCAGCAACACCGTGTGTCGCGTCATGTGTTTTAACGGCCATTTGCATGTCGACAAGAAATTGACCACTAAATGTTTCGAATACAAATATAGTATTATATTTCTATAGATTTTTTTTGTTTTTAGCTCGAACACTACAACAATACTCCTTACCTAACCTTTACACCTCGCCAAAATTACCAAGTTTCCACAGCCTTTTATTTATTAACATCCGAGGGGATATAGTACAATAATATTGTTTTATTATACAAAAGAGATTGTTTTTTTTTTTTTATTAAATATATTTTTAACTGGCAATATTTTATATTTATATAATACGATTTGACGATGTAATCGCCGATAACGTCCGGCCGGCTGCTGTGTATAAAGTATGATACATTTATTAATCGCGAGAGTTCAAACCCGTTCGGGGGGGGGCATACAAAAACCGTTTGGTCGATTTGCATTAAAAAAAAAAAAAAAAAAGGCGTTGAATAAAAAATCAACGCTCTACAATAACACTATTGTGCATATGTGTGCGAGTGTAAACCCGGTCGTTTGTGTGTACGCAGTCGACGGGGAGATTGTTATTGGGAGACGGTAATTGGAGTAAAATGAAAGCGAGAAAAAAACATACACACACACAACACTGTACATTATCAAAGGGGAGAAACGAGTCGAAAGCCAATGAGCCGCGGGGCTTAAGTGGTCCGTTCAGCCCTTTCTGTATAATCCCTCGTGTTGACGGGTGGAGCATATACACATCCACACCCGGTAGCGCATGCTGCAGCATTTGCGGGTGCCTCCCCCCTTTCCTTTTCCCCGTGCGTTTGTTTCAATCCCGCTTGTACTACGTATCAATTGTAATATTATTATAGTCCTCGACTTAAATCATTCCGGTACACACAAAGACCCCGCCCAACCCGTTTAAATGAGTTTAATGGAGCCGTCCCGCGGTATATACATATATTACACGACGTGCAGCAACTGTCTAAGTGTAAAAGGTGGCGCGGTACGTACACACAGATTTATAAGCTCTGACGCCGATCTATCGGATATTTATACACTATACAGCTATAAACTTAACACCGCGTGATAAGTTTATCAACTATTTGAACATTTTATAAATAGGAACCATCGAAGTATAAACTGCAGCACCCGCAATAAGCCTCGCAAACACTTTCAAAACCTCCAAAGTGTTGAAAAAAATAAAAATCCTCACCAGGTCGATTAGATACACAACGTACGATGCAACCCAAGTGCCAAGGGCTATGCACGTGTACCTACATATTATAGTTACGGGGTTTGGATTTCAAAAATTAATAGTCACGAAGGAAGTGGAGGTGGTGTTGTCCTTTTGTGTGCGCTGTCGGCTGTCTATACATATTATTGTTATTAAATATTATATTATTATACACGCACGAACTTCCTTGGTACTTGCGGTGTGTGTCTGATGGCGTGCAGTCCTTATAATTTTTGTTGTGTGTATATATATATATATGTATATGCGGTCAAAGTGGAGTGTATTATTATTATCAGTGTGTGTGTTATTGTAAAGGGTCAATGCAGAGCGTATACAATATTATACGTGCCGTATGATGTATACTATGTATATATAGGTACGGCACAATAATGTATAAACGCAACATTATATTATTATTATAGTTTAAGGGTGTTGTTTATACAGTAAAACGGTTCGGTTGCCAAGAAGTTCGCGTGCTCGGCCGACACACACAACCGCGGTCACAGTTTACCTAAATAACGTTTTATTAATAATACATATAAATTATTATTTTTGGCTTCGGTTTTAGCCGGACACGCCGCGTAGGTGGGAGGGTAATAGGTCACAAAGCTATCCCCCAGAAGGGTAGTAAGTAACATAACAATTATTATAGTTATTGTTACTGCCCGGGTATAAACTCATTAGGTTTTGTAATTTTATTTAATCGGTTTTCATATTTTGTTTTTTATTTTTTACCGTTTATGTTCACCTGTTATGTTTTAATATTGTAAGTACACCTTGAATATTTATTGCAGTTAAGCGGTTTACACGGTTAAAAATGGCGCACGATATAATATATTGTTATAAGTCGTATACGAAATCTTATAAAAGCTTTTAAACGAGTCTTGCACGCATAAAATAATAAAACGAATATATATGTATAAGCATAAAGGGTGTTTATACTCAAATGTTTTCTTTTTAAGACGTCCGGTGCGAATTGCCGTAGCATAATCGCGATTAATTATATTTTACAATTTTTATTTTTTGTTCGCAGCTGTAAAACTATATTCACGCAACCGTATTCAAATACTACTTTTGTGTTCTATCAAAATTGTTATTATTAAAAAAAATATATTCTCAATATATTTGTAGGTATTATTAATTATTACTAAAATAACCATTACACAAACATGATTTGTATATTCTGCATAATATAATAATGTCTTATTGGTTATGGACTTTTCATAACTAGTTATATACCTATTAGATTAAAGTTATGGAAAAATACCGTAAAAACTAAAAACATTCAATTATTTAATTATGGACTAATATATTTTGATGTTTTCTAGTCGATACTGATCGCCGTTCGTTATACTTTTGTTCCGGTTCATTATTATTATTATTTCTATTATTATCATGGCCGTCTATAGATTAGATCACTTCTGTATGTTATAACGTATACAATCCATAATATATAATAAAATGTCGTTAGATATAAACGGACGCATCATGTAAAAGCGCGGTTGTTTGTATTGTGATTTTTAATTTTTTTTTAATAATTTAACCTTGACTATTTTATTTTCTATAATGACTTTAATACGGTTATAATATTATTATATTGTTATAAAGTATATATATATATATATTATGTCTGCATATTATGAAGGCGCACGTGTACGGTTTAACAATAATATATAATTATGTTAAATGTATATGATAGTAATAATCTATAAGTACTACTATTATCTTCTCGAGTAAAAAAGATTGTCATCGACGATGACGATGCAGATAGTACAAGAAAGTTTCATAATTTTTTATATAATATAACGGATTCAGTTTAGTAAAATAATTTTAAATGATACCGCCTTATTTAACCTTGTAGTTGCCCGTGGAAATTTGAGCAAATCCGAGTTATAGAAATCGAGTAGATACTTGTTGCATTATACTCTATCAGTTACCTATAGGTTAAACCATAATATAGTGTATGGAGACACTATATATTATCTGCATTAGTCAAAAATTAACCACTTGTTTGCACACAATAAATGCCGTCAATGTCTTAATCGCCTAAGCAGTTATAACAGATTACAAGTCGTATGTACAGAAGTTAAATTTTTTTAGTTGACCGAGGTCGGTGGCCGCCATTTTTAGTTGCTGTTTAATAACAACATATAAACGGTTAACGAGCCCTAATCGCGTTACGGTAGGCGCAGGATTCGAGTGTGTACACATACGAGCACATCCCTAATATCCAATACTTTCCACTTCCTTGCAGGGCCTACCACTTAACGCCCTACCAAATTACCCGTAACCGGGCCGTTTCAAAATAGTCGGTTAGGTTATTAATCAAGTAGCGAAGCGCCTCAGCCACGTGCTGCAGTCGCACATCTTCCACAATAGTATACATATATGGGCGGCCTGTGTCGTCGGTCTGTGGTCGATTTACATAGTAATTTATACTACACATGTGCACGGTAAGCTTATTATTATTTTTAAGAGTTTCCTCCATTGCCGGGACCAGAGCCGACCGAAAAAAACCTCGACAGTGTAGCTGTTCAAAGATAAACCAAAAAAAAAACCCAAAGAAAAATTTCAATTATGGCCGACGGTTTGGGGAACGAGGAGGGGCGTCTAATTTCGGATAATACGTTAGCTCTGGCAAAGTGCCTAGACTGGTTGGTCGAGTATAGAATAGGCCGTGTCGACGAGGTTGTCGACGGCGAACGATTTACGACCTCCGCCTCGTGTATTAGCGCCAATTAGCGACAGAAGCGGCCAAATATAATTATACAAATATTTAAATAAGAATATACGTAACTATATATATACCGTCAACCCTCCCCGGAAGCGTTGGGTAATTATATTCGTCACCGATCCCATATAGTCCCGGGGCACAGAGCATGTAATATTTTGCACGTTCTGTATAATATATTTCTATCATTAATATATATTACAATAACGATATAATAGTTATTATTTTAGACGTCCCGGCGGTGTGTCATTTTTCATCCGAACACAGCTGCCATGCCAAGAAAACGTGGAAACGACGCGTTATAACGACAATAATTATATTATTCGCTTGTAAATAAAATAATAGAAATTGCGAAAACATCACTTTATATGATAATCATGCATCCAACGTCGACCTTACAAGTCTAAATTGTAATGATCGTGATCACCGGGTTTTCTTAACATTTAAGTATAGTTTATTTACAATTTTAGTATTGTTAAACTATGTTTAAGGGTAATTTAGTGAGTGCAACCATACACGGAATATAATAACATATACAAACATATACAGAAGCCCCTTTTTTAAGTGCCTCCAGTTGCGTGTATTTATAATTTAGGTCCAGCTACGGTCAAGATTATCTGAACCTCGGGGTAAACCAGTTGGCACTGCTTGAAGAAAATATAAAAATCAAACCTATATACCATTAGATCAGAAGCAGCGCATAAGAATTGCACTTTTTCCGCGCTTGTGCACCCGTGTTTAAACAACAATTTATTTATTATTTTTTTAACTACGCAGCAAGTTATATATTTATATTTATATTATACCTGCCAATAATAGGCATAGGTTAGTATTTTTGTCTTATGTAAAGTTAAATTTTTGAACGCGTTTTGTCTTTATACTCAATATAATACCGCGTGACCGAAAAAATACAAGTGTACTATATTTTATTTAAATTATAATTGCGTTTATTTTTACGGGATTTTTTATTGTAAGATTTATTCGATTAAAAAATTAATAATACTAATATAAATTTCGATTTTTATTTTACAGTTAACATTAAATAACGAGTTAGTAGATCGTTCCATTAATAAGGGTGAAGTGTCATGCTATAAGTTATAATATGTAATACTGTTGTGATAACTGAGAACCTAGAGTATTAAACTTAAATCGTTCTTCTGACGGTTTTTTTGTATTTAAGTGGGCCATTACCGTCGTTTTGACGATGTCGCGTGCAAAATATTAATGTAAAATGTGAGGGAAAATTATTAGTACCTATTATTATATGACATTATGGTGGGTGACAAAACGGTTTTTCTCCTCGGCCCCGGTGTATCGTATTTTCCGTTAAGGGTTCTTAAGCGAGTCGGGTAAAAAAAAAAAAAAAAATTAAAATGATCTCTAACGAGGTAAACGCCCGTATAAAAGCCGCCGTGCATTAGACAAGATGTTTAAATAAGTATATTATGTAGGTATTGTGTATAAAAAAACAGACATCTTTCACCAAACTCTGGGCGCTGAGCCAAAGCGGGTCGACTTACACGTTTTGACGCATTTAGGCTGCCTATCCAATGAGGGTTTGCCGTCTTCCGGTAGATGAGGACAGGTCAGACGAATTATAAGACGGAGGGTTATTTCCCCGAGGACGTCGAGACAAGTTTCCCTGAGACGGTATTACCGAACTTTAGGATAATAGACTAGTGACCGAACGGTATCCGTATTTGAATAATGTGTGTCCATTGCATCTCTTCTGACCGTGTAATCAATGTTTACACCAACTAAATTGGTTCAGAGTAGTTGCAAATAATTTCGCTATACCTACCCTATTATAGTATTATATTATAATAGCATTATACTCGGGGATTACGCGACGTCTAATCAAATGCGTGCAACTACTACATAAAGGTAATTTATACGCCAATAAGCGTTGTAATATTGTATGAATGTCGCTATAGTTGTTTAGACTGGTCTATAATAATGCATTGCGAGTTGATCAGAGCCCGATTTTACATCATGGATTTCGTCGGGATATTTAATTTATTTATTATAAATCAAAATACCAAACGCTGTCCAGCAACTTACTAATGTAATTAGATTTTCGTTGGAATTAAATTACCGGAAGTGGCGTGGCTAATAAATGGAGACCGAAATATTTCACGGTAGCTGCGTTGATATGTTATGTTATATTATCAAATAATAATATAATACACAGATGAGTGTATACAATATAGTATACAATGCCTATTAGGGCGGAAATTCGGAGTGCGTGCTTAATCTTCGAGTGCGAGAAAGGCGCGAGGTGGGCTCTTTTAATTCGAGTCGACCGTTTTGGGGGTAGTTTTTTTGATGATAATCCGACACGGGTAGCGATTGAAACGTCAAAATCGTTTACTTTTGTCCACGTGTATTAATAATAATATTATTATTATTATTGGCATATACAAACACTCGCAGCGTTAATAATTTCTACTTATAGATTTTGACTTTTGACTGCGCCAAAATACGCTCACTTATTGTACGTTTTATTCTTTAGAATTATTTTGTTCGACTTTTGACCGGAGGGTCGCGTTTATTTAATAATGTATCGTATTTTCCGTTTATATATATTATTATATTTTTCTGACGGGAAGTGTTTAGCCTCTGATATGCATTTAGCGTGCGACCGTCAATGTGACCCGTGTATGTTACCTAGTATACATCGGTATAAACATTGTCATGACGTGACCGTTATGGGTATTATTATTATATATATATATATATATATATATATAGCGCGACTACCGTTTGTATTCGGATATAGCCAATGTGTGTGTGTGTATTTTTTTTTATTGTTTAAAAAAAATCATTGTAATTACGGTTTGTGCGAGAGCCTTTAAAATATAATAATATTATATTGTCTGTATTTTATTAGCCGACCCGGACAATGTCCCTCAAGTATATAATTGTATTGTAATCGCATGTGAAGGTTTTTCATGACCATTGTATTCGTATACCTATATAATACTTATAGGGTTATTACATAATGTGCGCTAAGCCCATCGCACTATATCACAGCCGTACGATATTATTTGTATCTATTGTTGTCATAATCGCGTATTTTACAAAGCCAAACAAGACAGTATTTTAATTTTTTTTTTTTTTATTATTGATAATCATCACGAATATAAATACAAATCGATTATATTATATAGAAAATCAATTATTTTGTAAAAACAATATATTCGACCAACGGAAGAAAGTAAATAATGGAAACTTCATGCGACGACATACCTATCCGTGTGTTTTTTTTATTGTATATTTATATGGGTCTAACAATAATATAAAACTAGTGAATACTTTACATTTTTTATTATAGTCTGTAGGTTTAGGTACACATTTAAAACCAAATAAATCTCAAGTTCCAAATGTGTAAAAAAGGTTTACAGAAGTCTGGAGAATTGAACCGAACTTAGAAGTACCTAATTATATGATTACGTGTACATTGTTACGTATATACATACCTATTATACAACAACTGTATGTAGCATCCGCATGTGCCTACACGATACATCATACCTACACGGTATGTAGTTAGATCATTTATAATTATTTAGTGTGTAGATACGGGCCAACCTAATGTTTAGTTAAAGCAAGCGTATATTTAGTTAGTCTTAACTATTTATTAAGTTATTTCGCAATACTAACTATAATAATATATTTATTTTATACATAGTTTCGTATGGCTGTACCTACCTATCTACTTTCCGCCTTAAAAATACTGTAATTACCAATATATTAATTATAACCAAATATATTTATAGTATATGTGTCAAAACAAAAAAAATACATTTCTTAGATTAGGTTAGGTTTTAATTATTACTTTGGCACTTTATTTTTGAAAAAAGCTGATACGAATACGAAGAAGAATTGAAGCTATTACCTTTCATTATTTAAAATTATTGTTTTCATACTAGGTTTTTAAAAATTGTTTTTATAGGTAGGTACTTTGTCAATTTCCACCTGAATGCTTGTTATCCGTTTTAGTTTCCGAAGCTGAAAGTTTTGGTTTACAACAATGAATAGTTAAGTTTGCTAACAGTGCTATATAAGTATATTTTTATGTTCTGGACTAGTTTCTCTATTTTTGGTTAATTTAAGTTTTTTAAACAAAAACCGTTACTGCTAGTAAACCGGGAATTAGGTAAACGTTTTATTTTCAAAATAATATTCCAATTGTATTCACTTACCGTTGGAACAGACGGACGAGTTGTCGCCGGGCAATCCGCTGTCGGTGCCACTTTCGTGGTCGTCGCTGAGATCGGAGTCGTTGCCGTGGCCCATGACGACGCCGCCTCCGCCGTTGTTATTGTTGCCGGCCGACGTGCCCGTGTCTGACGACCGGCCGTGCAACGACAGGTCTCTGGGCCCGTCCGTGGACGACGCCGGCGAAACGGGCGACCCGTTGCCGCGGCCGCTGTCCGAAAGTATGTCGGTGATCATGAACCGGGATCTGCCCAAATGGTGCAGCGGCATGGTACCTCCTGCTGCAGCGGACGCGGCCGTCAGTTCGTGCACGGTCATCCTATGGTCTGCGGCCACCGCAGCGAGCCCGATCGGCCACTGCAGAAACGTCGTGCCACCACGTCCGGACACGGTGGTCCCGTGCGGCGCGCGCGTACAGTCGAGTGTCGCCGTCGTAAGCGCGGAACCAACGCACGAGCAAAAAAGTCAGCGAGCGACGCCAAAGACAAACTTTTTCCGGAAAAAAAACGGAGGCGTTTTATCGTTTATAAAAAAAAAAAGTTAGTTTGACCGCCGGAAAAATTTTATAACACGATTTTTAACGAGATGTTGCGGACGTTTTACGATCGTCGGCGAACAATATAAATAAATGTTAGTTTTATCCTATACCACCACACGACGAGTCACGGCGGCGCACGGTGTGTGAGTGAATAATGAGTGTGTGTATACGGTTAACGACAACGTGGACGAGAGACGTCGACGACGAGCTGAGGTCGATGCCGGTCGGTGCGTGGTCGATGGTTAACTAAACGATTGGTTAAGCGACTGTTAACGGCGGAGGTAGCGGTCGCTTGACGCGGCGGAAGGGGCGACCGCCCACCGGTGGGCGTCGTCCTCCAACCAGAGACCGCGGCGCAGCGCCGATAACCGGATTACATTTAAATCGTCGTTATTGCATATTATACTCGTATACACACACACACACACACACACACACTGTTCTCTGGGTTCGTTTTCCTCCGCCTTCGGGTTGGGTCCACGCAGAGCGCCACCGCCAACATCACCGCGACACACGCCGCAGCAGCTGCCGCTACGGGCCGTCATCATCGCCGTGTAGCGCTCGTTAATGTACCACATAATCATAATAATAATCGTACCGGCTTTGTGTCGTGGCCATAGATTTTATGCACAGTTGATTCCACGTACATTTAACTTCTTAAAACAATCATGTGATCGGTTTGGCGTTATCCGTTTGTTTCTTTGACGGAATCCCAACAAAGTTTGAAAGTATTATAGCGTTTGGGCGATTTTAATCCAATAATAATCTTGTAGGCGACATTATTTGCGTGATAATGACGTATGGAAATCATTTTTATTACTGTTGGTGGGACGTTTAAATGTTATAAATATCGCACCGAATTACTGTTTTGCCTTGTGCAACGTCTTCGTTGTTGTAATAAGTTTGTAATTCGGTCTAGCCGCGAATGTAAACAAAAAGTAATTATAAAGTCGCTAAATAAATTATTATAGGTAGGTATATACTAAAATGTAAAATATTATGTTTAAAATACACAAAGCAAAATAGAAATAATGTATATAATATAAACTAGATATACCTACTTATTTAGGTAACTTAATTAATTTTTAAATTAAAATAAATACACTGAATAAAATTCTCCTGTCAAATCAAGAATATAAAACCTATTGTAGTTATATATTGGGTTGTTCTAGAGCAGGCGAACAATTAATTTTTTTTTAAGTTTTGGTCTTACTCCCATTAGTTTTTTATAGTATAAAAAAGTAATTTATAACAAAAAAATATTTTAAACCAATATATACTTTATGAATTATCAAAATATCCAAAAATAATTATATATCTTTACTAAAGGGTGGTTGAAAAAAACTGAAATTGATACTCTTCCTACAAATATAAAAGTAATGATTACAATACAATAAACAAAAATTAAAATTATGTAAATCATTTTTGTTTTTATTTTACTTTATTAAACAATAGATATTATGTCAATAATTAAAATGTTAAAAAAATAATTTTAAACCATCCCAAGAGGCGTCTCCGTTTTTCGCCAGAATGACCCTCGGACGTTATCACCATGTTTATTTTCCGGCTGTATTTTCAAAATTAATTAAAATTTGTTACCTGACATTTTATAATAACCCCTGAGTTTTATTTTATAAAATCGTACGCTATAAATGAAATAGTTATACGTAGACGTTACATTATAACGAGTTCATTTTTATGTTTTTTTGTAAAAAAATGTTAGCTGTACACTTTTAGGTAGCACTTTCGCTGTTTAATGCTATTCTGATATACGTATATACGCGTGGTTAAATAAAAAATGTAAGTAAATTAGTATACTAATTTTTTTACTAATATATTGGTATATTATAATCATGATTATCAGTATTTATAGATGTTATATATACTCTGTTCGGAATAAGAACAGAGTATAAGTACTAAATGTATATAAATGTAGATGTAATATATATAGCTATATGTAGACATGTATAGTGTAATTAAAGATTTCGATTTTTATAATTCTGCTCAAATTTCCATTTAAATCTAAATTCTAATCCCCTAATTAAGCAACTATCCTCGACCTCGCTTCCCGATAATGCTCCCAGAAGAATTTAAATTTATTACTACCTTTGACGGAAAATGGACACGGTTCGATAACGGTCGAGTCATTATGGCAAAAAACTGAACTAATCAAACGCCCATCCCAAACACTTGAAATTTTTGGCGGGACATTGTGGCAACTCTCAATTCACATGTAAAGGATACTTGGGGTAAAAACCAGAAAAGTTACTTTTTTACATCTAAGTAAAACATGTTTATTGAATGAAGTACGTCAAAACGAATTTCATTGCACCAAAATCACCATTTTGAAATACATTTCTATTTTTATACTTGTAAAAAGCGAGTCACTCACTTTATAGTTTATTCAATTTGTTTGCCGCATTGTGTTTTTGAGTAGTTAGTAGTTGGTACTATATAACTTTGCTCCAAACTAACATATGATCTTCAATAACTTTCACACTACACGTTTGTTTGAATGGATTTATTTTAATGTGATATAGATAATAAAATCTAGAACGGAGAATCTCCGTTTATTAAGAAGCATATTCTTGGCTTTGGCCAATAAAAAAAGTAAAACTAAACAAGTAATATTCGTATTTTAATGATGTCCTATTGTTTAAAAATGTTTACATATTTTTTATTACAAATGATAATATTGGTCCGGAATGGGAATTTATTATTTACTTAACGTTTATAGTAAAGAGACAATAAATGGTAATAGCTCTAATTTGTATTCATCTTTGAATATTGTTTATAGATGAAATCATAAAGTATGATGATTTAGGGGAACTTTTACAGTTTTTAAAACTGAGAAATGAACATCAAAGCAAAAAATAATGCGTAGTTACAATTATTTGATTATGTAGAATTGTGTTTCATAAATATGATATTATTATGTATTAGAAATTATACAATGACCATTTTTTTAAAAATAATCTATTAAAACAGGCTTTAGATAAATTATGTATGCTAATACCTATGGTATATTTTTAAAGGTTGGATTTGTTATTATTGTAAAAACAAAATTTGCTATTATAGTTATTCACTGTAACACGACATTGCGCTTCCGCTGTAATATAATATATTTTGCAACTATCACTAATTTGCTGAGCAGACACGCGCAGGTACACAATGGTATATTATATACATAATAGTATAAGTTCGAAATGAGTTACGTACTATAATGTGCGGATATGTTAAGTACTTATATGTGATTATATCATTGTGAGGACATTGTTAAAAAATTCGTCGAATTTGAGTACAATACAAATTTTGAAAAAAAATGACATTGGCTAAACCATTAGTTTTCGTTTTTCCTATGATTTGCTCGAAAGCAAAACAAAATGTAAATTTGGTTTAAAAGAAAAAAAATAAAACAGTTGAAATAGTGACTTTTTTTAGAGTGATTTTTTTTTTTGTACATATCACAATATAGCTTTTAAAAAATAGTTTTGAAACAAATTGTCACTACTGTAGTCTACTGTAGTTCTTACCACTCAGTTATCTAAAAAAAGACACTATAAAAAAAAAGATTAATTGCCTGACTAGGAAAATGATAATTTAGCTTTTTAACCAATATTGGCTTATTTTATTTAAGATTTTGATGCAAAATTGAGTTTTTTTGCTTAGGAATGTTTATGAATAATATAAGAAATATTGTATCTGTATGAACTTTTAAAGGTTTTTTAATTAATGAAAATAACATAGTCAAAATATTTCATGTATTTATGTTTATTCCAACTATACGTTTTTAAATAATTCTAGATCATAATGGTAGAGCAATTAAGTTTTTCTTTATCCTTGTTATAACAAAGGTCATAAATAAATCTAACGATGAAAAGTATCAAATTCAAGACGCAAAAATTAATATATTATCATCATTAATTATTATTATCCATAATTTAAACGAATTTAAATATTTACTTTATAATTAATGTTTAAATATCCGTGAATACCTAGTTTTATACTTAATTAATATACGCCTAAATGCAAATCAGTCTTATATCGTATTATATTAATCGGATTTGTTTAAAACTAGGTCGTTGCGACCAATTAATATTGTAACAAAATTTGTAACTGTATAGGAATATTTGTACTATCTTAAGGCCTTTCATAAGCGCCACTTCATTTGTGCATATTATAAATACTGGCAAAATTGTATGTAGGTATACTTATACTTATGCGTCCGAAATTAAAAATCATTATAATAATATTATTATTGTACGATTACATCATATCAATCTTGCGCCAATTTTATTCTACAAATAATATATGACACAATAATTACCATTGTTTTTCTTAAAAGGATCATTAGTAGGTATAGACCATTTTTGGTACAACTTAAACCTTTAAAAAATGTATGTATACATATTTCAACGCGGATTTATTTCTATTTTTCTGTGTCTAGCCCACAAATAAATAGTAATATCGATATTTTTCATTATATTGTTAATTACTATGTACGGGTAATAACGACAAAAAATTATTATAGACAGACGGTCAACCCTAATAGGCTATTCGTATATCTTTTACTAAAAATACATTTTTTAGCACGTTATCTCATTACAATGTTTTTATTGATATTTGTAATTCTACTGTTATACAGATTCGCATCGAAGCGTTTATTTGAATGTGATTTTATTACTTTCAGTTGTAATAATTAATATCTATACTGGATTATTTTATTCCTGAAATCCTGGATTACATTGATTAATTAAAACAAAATAATCCAGTAATCCGGGACTAATCATCCTGCCCATATCTGCTTTTAACCTCATTCACTAAACAATTAATGTAAGCTATTGTATCTACATATTATGTTCTATACTTTAATTTATAATTAAATCACTAGATTTATTATGATAACCTATTTAATGTTAAAACGTGTGCGGTAGGTAATCGATACTGAAATTTAATAATACATGCGCTGATCGCATACTACAGTTTCAATGACTGTTATATATTTATAATTGTATATACAATATGGACTGTCGACAGATATGTTAATCGGTGTGGATATGTATATTATAAACTACGTACAGAGGGCACTATATGACTATATAGGCGCGTATATTATAATATTTTATAGAGATAAGTATTGAATGATGCATGACGGTATAAAATGATATTTTTCACTGCATATTTAATACATTAACAATAATAATCGTTATGCAATAGTTATATGTAGAACAT